CTGGAAGACTCTTCGGGACAGGACTGGGGCTCAGGAGGTTAGGCAAATGACCCGAGGACACGCTTACACCGTGCCCAGGGGCACGGCGGCGAGAGGGCCCCAGGAACGCCTCAAGAGAGACCCCAGAGGGGGAACTCGAACGGACATATCGAGCTCTCCGCCCCTTGAGGCCCCCAAGAGGCCCCGAGCGGCTCCCAAGAGGCCCTCAAGAGGCTCCAAGAAGTCCCCGAGAGGCCCCCAGGAAGCCCAAGGGGCGCCCCCAAGAGGCCCCCCAAAGTTCCCCCCCAGACGCCCTGAGACATTCCTGACGATCCTCGACGCCGTCCCATCGTGCCAGTTGCATCCCATGTCCCGCTCTCCTGCCCGACTATGCTTCTTTCGCGCGTCGTCGTCGTCGTCGTCGTCGTCGTCGTCGTCGTCGTCGTCAGTGGTGATTATTCTAGACCATCGGAGCCTCTGGGGGGCTTCAAGGAGGAGAGGAGCAGGAGGAGGAGGAGGAGGAGGAGGAGGAGGAGGCGGAGGAAAAGGAGCAGGAGGAGGAGGATCAGGAGGAGGAGGAGGAGGAGGAGGAGGAGGACTAGCGGAATTCCAAAACTCATCAACGATGTTGGAATAAACCCTCCCTCCAAGCTTCCTCTTCATAGGTCCCTACACGGGTTCATTTTTCACTGGGGGAACTGCCTCGTTGGGAAAGAACCGTTTGAAGACCCTGAAGCGTGCCAAAACATAGCTCTCGGGACTCCAAGGCCACGAGTCAACATGACTGTTGGGTCTTGACGATCCTGAATCTTGCCAGAACACCATTCCTGGGACTTCAACACCGCGAATCAACGAACTGTTGCGCTCTCACAATCCTGAGTCCTTCCAAAGCAAAATTTCTGGCACGTTGACCATGGGAACCCGTGAAACTCTCATTCTTGTTTTAAATGAGTGTGCGTGGTGCTAAGGCGAGAGCCACATTTTGAAAACGAGCCGCCCAAAATCCGTGAAGCTCTTGCAATTGTTTAGCCACATTTTGAGAACCACCCGCCCTCAATCCGTGAAGCCTTTGCAAATTTAAATCGAATATGCGCCGCGCTAATTCGAGAGGCACATGTTGCCAACCACTCGCCCTCAATCCTTGACACTCTTGCAATGTTTTAGAACGGATGTGCGCGGCGCTGAGGCAAGAGCCACATGTTGAAAGCGACCCGCCCTTAATCCGTGTGCGTGGCGCTAAGGCGACAGCAATATGAAAACCACCCGCTTCCAATCCGTGAAATTTTCTGCAAACTGTTCAAACAAATGTGCGCAGCGCTGAGGCGAGAGCCACATCTTGAAAACGACCCGCCCTCCATCTGTGGAAGTGCTGTCAGTTTCTGAGCTTCAGGGTCATAAATGGTGAGGAAGTCTCAGGGGCAACGCCCAGCCCGCCTTTCGACCGTCCACGGAGTGCGACAGTGAGGAGCTTTCTATAAGGAGATGGAATGGAGGAGGAGGGCGAGCAGAAAGCTCGGAGGCCTCTTCTATGCCTCTCGGAGTCTCTTCGGATGTTTAGTCGAGAGCTTTCTGGGGTCCCCTTGGGGCGTCTTGGGGGTCTCTTGGCAATCCTAGTGGCCTCTTGAGGCGTCTTGGGTGCCTCCGGGGACCTCTTGGAGCCTCTCGGGGATCTCTTGGAAGCCTCTTGGGGGCATCTTTGGGACGTCGTGGTGGCCTCTTGGGGCCTCCTGGGCACCTCTTGGGGCCGTCTTGGGGTACCCCTGGGAGCCTCGGGGGCCATCTTGGGGCTATTTTGGAGGAGATCGATCAAGGGTGAAGGCTCATTGCTCAGGCCCCCCCCAAGAAGGCCCAAATGTGGCCCATGCAGCGTGCCGCGCTGGCGGCCCACGTGAGCCGTGGCGTGGGGTTGCACTGCATTCTCGCGTAAGATCCGCTTGTTTTTGTCGCTCATTTGTGTTTTAACAAGGGTCGCCTTGCAAATGTGCGGCCATAGGAAGGCGGCACAGGTCTGCCCCCCTTGTTCACAATTCTCCATGGGAGCATCTCGACTAGTCCCCCACGGGAGCTCCACAATGCTCCTGCCCTGATCCAGGACGCCAGGCTGGCAATCATAGTTTACATAGTTTGTCCTTCGGACGCAGAGTTCTCCAGCGGGCACGCCTGGGATGCACCTGGGACTGTCTTGGGCGTGGACCTGGGACGTGTCATCTTCGAGCGGGAAAACTCCGGACTGATCCAGCCTCCGTGTATCGAGCCGGATCGAGGCCAGATCCCAAGACGGGAGTTGGGGGCACCCTCCTGTTGTGAAACACACCATCCTCTGGATTGGTATTCTGGGATCGAGCTGGATTGACGACATATCCGAAGATGACAGCTGGTGACCCCTGAGGCCCCAAGTGATAAATCCGGTGGTGAGATTTAATGTAAGGGCACTGTTAGAACTCTCGGGTTACCTACCTCCTCCCGCCCCTCCCTCTCTGGTGCTGCTGTCTGGTGCATTTTGACTGCTGTTGCATTTTGCCGGCTGGTGCATTCTCTCTCCTCCGATCTTAGTGTTTTTTCCAGCGTAAGGCTACATTGACCTCCGATTGGCGAATCCTTGCCAGAAACCTTTTTACTGGACCGCAAAAAGGAGCTGTCATTGTAGAATCGCCAGGGAGCAGCAGCCCGAGTTGTGATTGCGATTCGCGCTTGGACGGTTTTGCCCGATACGCGCTTTGACCAGGGACGCAGGTCGAGAGGTCCTGCAGCGCTGCAAATCCCACCAGACCTCCGATTGGTGAGTCCTTGCTGGAAAACTTCTTGCAGGCCCTCGAAAAGGAGCAGTATTTCAGCAGGCTCGCAATCCTGGGCTTCCGACATCCTTAGACGGCGCAAGGGCATGCCAAGATCGCCAGGGAAGGGCCTGGCTCCAAGAGTGCGTCAAGGCGTCCCAGCAGGGCCTCACGACGGCCGACGATGCCTCCAAAACGATCCAAGAAGCCTCCAAGACCGCCCCTGACAGGGGTCCCAAAGTCGGACATCGAGCGGGCTTCGAGAGCCGTGCGCCCAAGACGGCCCGAACGACCTCCGAGCTTGCCCCAAAGCGGCCCCAAAGAGCCCTAACAGGGCCAAATTTTGGCCTAGTGCAATTCAAGAGGGCCCGAAGAGGGCCCCCAAAGCGGCTCAAGATGTCCGATGACGGCACGCGAAGGAACACAACACGGCCCAAGATATCCAAGAGGACCCCAAGACGACCCAAGATGGACCCCAAATGGCCCCAGCGCTGCCACAAGAGGGCTCCAAGGTAGCCCAAGAGGCCCCCCAAACGGTCCCAAGGTTTCCAAAATGGCCCAGGCTGCTCCCAAAACGGTTCCAAAAACGGACGCCAAAGGCCCCTAATACCGCTTTTCCAGCAGGCGCCCAAGAGGCTTCAAGACGATCCATGGACGGCCGGAGGGCGCGGAAGCTCTTCAATAATGCCCCCCGAGAAGCCAGAGTCATCGAATCGAGGGCCTTGCCAGTGCGACCCAGATGGGTTCTCTTAACATCTTTGCGCCTTGGCTTGGCCCCAGATGCGTGGCTGGGAAGGGAGGGGGCGGTATTCGATACTCCGTGGTGTGGCCTTGGTGGCGTGCACTTCGGAGCCAGGCTCAGGCACAGTTCTTCGTTGCTAAGCTCCTCCTCCTCCTCTTCCTCCGGGTCTTCGGGCGGATCCAAGGAAGCGCAAGAAATGTTGAATAAGCCCAAGGCTCAAGGACTCCCCGACACGTCGCCAGGATCCCAACAGTTAATTGCCACAGGTCGTTCTACCACCCCCGAAGGGTCTCCAGAATCGTCCTGCATTCCTCATGAGCAACTTGCGATGCTAGTTCCTGGGGCGCGGCTAGAACCTGAGCGCGCGCGCGAAACGCGCGCGGTTCTAGTATGTGTGTATGTATATATATACACACATATAGATACATATATGTGTGTTCCGAAGTACACCCACCCCTGAGGAGCTCTGTGCTCCAATGGCTCGCTGGGCCTCGCTGCGCAGCATCTCCGCGGAGCCGCTGTGGAAAGCTCCGCTCCGCTAGCCATCGAGATCTTCGGCTCCCCAGTGGTGTCCATTGACCTTCAGTTCTGGATGTTGCAGAGCCTGATTTTGAGCCGTTTATTGCACAACGTTCACATCATCGTGCCGACTCTTTGCTTCCATGTTACCAGCAGAAGCGTGCACATGCGAGTTCACAGGAGGATCGCCAGAGTACCACGTTTTCGACGCACTGCCCGCGATGTAGAAGTGCGCGAGCGCCTTCGGAGGCCGAGCATCGATAGCCTGATTATGCGCGCACGCCCCCGCTACTTTGGACGACTGCTGCAGTTGCTGCCCTCCGCCATTTTGGCGATGCTCAGCACGAGTCCCAAGGATCGGCCGATGCCTTGGGCAGAGCTGCTTGACCACTGACTTGCTGAAGCTGCGTGAGCTTGCCGCCCTGTGCTCGCACCTCCCCAGCCCCGCTGCCGATGTTTCGAAGTGGGCCGACTTGATTTTAGCCGCCTCTCATGGACGCTGGTCCAGTGCTGTGAGCAGCTCTGACTTTGCTGATTCTTGCTGCGATGCCGCCGATGTCGCCCAAGCGTCAACGTCAGGTGGCACGCGCCGGCGCGCTTGCACTATTTCTGATGGCCGATCCGCTTCTACATAAGCATTGTCTCAGCACATGCGCGTTCAGCACGGCCGTAAGTACATGCAGCGATTTTGGGCACCAGCTGATGCCATTTGCCTTGCTTGCGGCACCGTTTTTGGGAGCCGTCTTCGTCTCTTGTCACATCGCTGCGGGGCGTTCCCATGCTCTTGCGCGCGGGGCATTCCCATGCTCTTGCGAAGGGTCCAATTCGCATGCCTGACGGCTCAACCGTCGGCCGCGCCAGTAGTTAGCAGCAGTCTGGAGGCGCATGCCCAGCCATTCCCGCTGCCTTTGTTTTCCTTGTGTCGCTTTCTTCGCTTTCCCTGTATGTGTTTCCTGTGCCGTTTTCCTGGTATAGATTTTTTTTTTTCGCCTTTTTTTGATGCGCCGCGCGCGGCACTCGATGAATACTTTATATCCGTAGCCATTTTGGCTCAGGCCTTGGCTCAAGGCTTGGCGTGTGTCCCCTCGGATGTCTGCTCAGCGCCCATGCCGTCGTCGTCTGGCTGGCAATCGAGGTCTGGCGGCTGGGGCTGGGGCTCTGGCCGCAGGCCCAAGCAGTGGCTTGCAAGGCATGCGATGCCACCAGTACCTCGAGTTCCTGCGCCACGTGCGGGGTGGAGAGGGCGCGCGGCGACGTGGCGCGCTCTGCGCCGGGGAACGCGCGGCGCGAGGGCGGCCGCAGCCCGCTGCCTGGGGAGACGGGGGGCTGCTCCACGGCCCAAGGCCGTCCAGTCTACGAGGGGCCAGGTCGCCGCCATCACGACCAAGCTCGCGGAGGCGCAGCAGCATGTCGTCCAGCAGGTACCGCTTTTCGCGTCGCCCGCCGACCCTGTCGACATCAAGGCGACGTCGGCTCAGATCAAGAAACTCGAAGGATCTCTGGCGGAGCTCCCAAAGGACGAGGGGACCTTTAAGGAGGCCATCCTAGAGCGCATCGCGGCGATGTGGCAGCTCTTGGCTGCCGGTCAGCCTGTCGGTGCGCACCCAGGCCAGGCCCTGGCCGCCTTGGCGCCAAGCGGACGCTCAGGCCGCGATCGACGCTGCCGTGGCTCTCAAGCAGGTCGCCGACGCCGAGGAGGTGCAGTGCGCCCAGGAGGTCGTCGGTCTCGAGCAGCGGCTGGTCCGTGCCCCCGCCTCCGACCGCGGAGCCGGCGGAAGCGCCGCTCTCTCAGGTGCAGCGCTTGCTCAGCGGCATGATCTCGGAGCTCCGGGACGACGAGTGCGTCGACCCTGCCCGCGTCGAGGCTGCCGCGCGGCACTGCCAGCGGCTCGTCGACGGCTTCACCGTGACGCTGCGCGAGGCCCGCGCCCAGCAGCGTAGGCAGCAGGATTTGGCCATGGGGGCTCCGAGCACGCGGCGCGAGGGCAAGCAGCCCCTGGGCCCACCTCCGACCAGCACCTACGTGCGCATGAACGGCAAGCAGCTTCCAAGCGCTTCATCACCGACCACTTCCGGGTGATCAAAAGACGGTCACGAAGGCCCCGAAGGCACGAGCGGGGGCCGGGAACACCGACCCGTCGCCGGAGTAATATTACCCATTTTGGGCGCGGATGCGCAATCTGAGGGCGACGCGACCACAGGGTCGCCTTGCCCCGAGTGCGATTTTGAATCTCTACCCGATTCAGCTCATGATCATGACCGTTGCTGCATCTCTGAGGTGGTCTTGGAGGTGTCTGTGCTGGCCGTGCCTCTGGCCGCTGCATGGACGCTGATCTCTGGTTCTCGACCTGTTCGGCCCCTGGCTGCGCAACCGCGTCGTCAGCAGCGCCGCCCTGTTCTGTTTCGAGTGCCGTGGCCGCTCAGCTCCCTGCCATTGGGGGGCCTCCAGCACCCGCGTTGAACGAGTCACCCCGCCCTGGGGATACGGTCGTAGTCGACAGTAGTACCGATGAGGGAGTAGTACTGTGTGTCGCCACTGCGAATGTTGGATCTCTTCACCCTCGCGAGGCAGACGCTGCCCGTGTGCAGGTGGCTGGAGCGCAGCTCATGGGCAAAGCCGCTGTTCTGGAGGAGGAGTTTAGCGCTGCTGGGCATCAGCGTTGTTGGGGTGCAAGAAGGGCGAACTCGCATGAACGAGATCCGCCCTGGTCTGCACTGCGAGCGATACGCTGGTGCAGCGGACACGAGCTCCACCGAAGGCCCCAGTGGCAGGGTCCACATGCGGCTCCCCGCCCACCGCATGTCCATGCTGGCACACCCCTTACACGCTTCGTGGCCCCACAGGAGCAGGTGGTAGTGGCGTGGCCTCCTTCGTGCGAGCGCGCGGCCGCCTGCCATCTCTTCACGAGGGTAGAGCGAGGCAGCGAGCCAGAGCCGGGTTCTTCTTACTGGTCGTCAACCTTCTCCTCCTCGTCCTCCTCCTCCTCCTCCTTCGCCTCCTCCTTTCATTTGCTCCGACCATCTTCTCTCTCATCTCCTCTTCCCGCCTTTCCCTCCTCCCCCACCGGTCCTCCTGCCTCTTGGGTCATCCCTCCCTCTCTCCTTCCTCCCTCCCTCCCTTCCTTTCTTGCCTCTTCCCTCTTCCCTTGCTCCCGCCCGTCCTGCTCATCCTCCCCTTCCTCCCCTCTTCCTGCTGCTTCCTGCCCCTCCCCAGTGCCCTCTCCTCTGCGTGGCGTCTAGCGTCCCCCCCCTCCCTCCCGCCCCCTCCTCCCGCTCTCCGCCCCTCCCGTCCTGCCCCCGCCGCCGGCCAGCTCCTTCCGTCCCCTGCCGTCCTGCCCTGCTCGGTGCCCCGCCCCTTGCCCGCGGCAGGCGGCTGCGGTCAGGGCTTCGGCGGAGGCGGCGGCTGCGGCGGCGGTTGCCCGGCGAAGGGCGGCGGGAAGGGCGGGAAGTCCCTGGCCGCTGCCGTCGAGCAGTTTGTCCAGGACGGAGGAGGAGGAGGAGGAGGAGGAGGAGGAGGAGGAGGAGGAGGAGGAGGAGGAGGAGAGGAGGAGGAGGAGGAGGAGGAGGAGGAGGAGGAGGAGGAGGAGAGGAGGAGATGGAGGGAGGAGGAGGAGGGGAGGAGGAGGAGGAGGAGGAGGAGGAGGAGGAGGAGAGAGGAGGAGGAGAGAGGAGGGAGGAGGAGGAGGAGGAGGAGGAGGAGGAGGAGGAGGAGGAGGAGAGGAGGAGGGAGGAGGAGGAGGGGAGGAGGAGGAGGAGGAGAAGTGGAGGAGGAAGAGGAGGGGGAGGAAGAAGTGGAGGAGGAGGAAATGGAAGATACCGAAATCACGGAGGAAGACACTGAGGATGTATTGGAGAAGAAGGAGGAGGAGGAGTCGGGGGCGGTAAAGAGGGGGGTGGGCCATGATATTTCCTCAGATCTCATGGTGCCTCTTCTTATTTCATTACGTCTCTGGCCCCCCTGCTGGGCCGCGCACATGCCGCCAGTCATGATTTGCACCCCCCCTCTTGGACCCCCCCTCTTGGCCGCTCCCGAAGGAGGAGGAGGATGACCAGTGTAAATCTAAGATGCAGCAGCGATGTTGCAATACACCTTCCCCTCAAGTTCCCTCTTCACAGGTTCCTCAAACCAATTATCCTCATTGCGAGAAGGGGCAATTAGAAAACAATGTTCTGAGACCCCTCAGCCGTGCCACCGCAGTGTTCCTTGGACATCAACGTTGTGGATCAACATGGCTGTTACGTCCTAAGACTCTTATGTCGTGCTAGAACACAGATATCGGGACTACGACCGTACGAATCCTTGAATATCCTGTAGACTTTAAAGACGATTGTGCGCGGCGCTAATGCGAGAGCCACATCTTGAAGACGAGCCGCCTTCCATCCTTGAAGCGATTGCAAATTCTTCACGCTTCGCGTATCCCCAACAGCCCATCTCAAAACAGCAACTCTTGCGAAGCATGCCGACAGTCGCGTTTTTCCGGCGTGTTTCCGCCTGCCCCCGCATATCTCCGGGCCTCTCGTCCTGGTGTGAGTCGTTCGGGCCCTTCTTCCTGGTGTGAGTCGTTCGGGCTCTTCGTCGTGGTTTGAGTCGTTCGGGCTCTTCGTCCTGGCGTGAGTCGTTCGGGCTTCTCGTGGTGTGAGTCGTTCGGGCGCCTCGTCCTGGTGTGAGTCGTTCGGGCCCCTCCTTGTGGTGTGAGTCGTTCGGGCTCTTCGTGGTGTGAGTCGTTCGGGCCCCTCGTCCTGGTGTGAGTCGTTCGGGCTCCTCGTGGGGCCTCTTGGGGGCCTCTTGGAGCCTCTTGGAGCCTCTTGGGGGCCTCTTGGGGGCCTCTGGGGAGCCTCTTGGGGGCCTCTTGGGGCCTCTTGAGGCCTCTTGGGGGCCTCTTGGGGGCCTCTTGGGGGCCTCTTGGGGCCGTTTGGGAGCCTCCGGGGGGCCTCTTGGAGGCCTCTTGGGAGCCTCCTGGGGGCCTCTTGGGGCCATCTTGGGGCCTCGTGCGACCTCCTCAGAAGCGCCAATGAGAGCTGCCCCCTGAAAAGGACAAAATGATCCCAAAACCTTCGTAAAATCAATGATTTTGCTATGAAGGAAGATGAGCGCGGCCCCCTCAGGACGCCCAAATGGGGCCAAAACCGTAGTAAAATCAATGATTTTTGCTTCAAAGAAGAGCAGAGGGGCCAAACTCTGTCCCCCCGTCGGGGCCAGAATCCTCGTGAGGGTTGTCGTTTTTTGGCCCTCCCAGGAGTCGAAAAAGACCCCCCTGACGACCCGCGGCCCGCCCTCTCCAGGCCCAGGGGGAGGGGGTAGGGGGAGGGGTAAACCCCTCCCCGAAGGGGAAGAAGGGGGGTTGAGGACAGAGCGGGCTCTCTAAACCACTCACGCCCAAAGGGCTGGTGGGACTTTGAAGACGAATTTGCGCGGCGTTCAGGCGAGAGCCACTTTTTGAAACGACCTGCCCCCCCATCGCGCATTCGCTGCAAACTTTCAAGACGAATGCGCGCGGTGCTACTCCTCCTTCGTTCTCCCCCTTCTTCTTTTCCTCCTCACTCCCTCCCACTCCTCCCCTAACCTTGCGGATGTGGCGCGAGCCGCGGGCGAGGTGCCGGGGGCTCTGGCCTTGTTGTCCCGAGGTTGGCCTCCATGCGGACCCAGCCTGGGCCCAGGATATGCCACTTGCCGAGTACGGAAGGACGGGGGTCGCGCCCACCCTGGAGGAGGAGGAGGAGGAGGAGGAGGAGGAGGAGGAGGAGGAGGAGGAGGAGGAGGAGGAGGAGGAGGAGGAGGAGGAGGGGGGAGGAGGAGGAGGAGGAGGGGGGAGAGGAGGGAGGAGGAGGGAGAGGAGGGAAGAGGAGGAGGAGCAGGGAGGAGGAGGTGGAGGACCTGCGACCTCGCACCCGGCGCTTCGCGGTCTCCCTGCCTTTTCCCCTTCCCTCCCTCCGCTCCCGAGAAGGACTGCGCCTGAAGGGTCGAGAAGCGGGGCCTGGCGCTTCGCGGTCTCCCTGCCCTTCCCCCTTCCCTCCCTCCGCTCCCGAGAAGGACTGCGCCTGCGGGGCCCAGTCGCCGAGTGCTGAGCCAGGGGCGCGCCAGCCAGGGCGGCCGACGCGGTTTCCGCCGGCAGCAGCGCCCAGCGCCCAGCCGCCGAGGCGCGCGTGGGCGCGCCTCTGGGGGAGGTGGCTCGGGGTGCGGCCCCGCGCTAGAGCGACCAGCTGTGGGGCCCTCGGGCTGGACGCAGGGGTAGGATAGGGAAAGGGGGTGCGAAATCTGCTGCGCGCAGCTGGTTTTTCGCCCCGTCGCCGGGCCCATTCCTCGACACGTGGGCGCCTCTCGGCGCCAGGAGAGCCAGCTGCGTGAGGTGATTCTCTACCCTGCCCTTGGCTATCCTACCCCCTTTCGTCCCCCCCCAGCCTCGGGTTCGCCGGAACTCGGCTTGCCGACGCTTTCTGACGGGCCCGTCCTGAGTTTTAACGGTCCAATTTCGTGGGGCCCTTTCAGCGTGAGCTCGTCATTTTCCTGACGGCCCAGCCAGGCCAACCCGAGTCCCCCGAACCCGAGTCTTACGTCTCCCCGACGGGTGCAAACGCCCGCGCGTTCGGGAGCGGATCGACGGATTGTCCACGTCGCAGGGGCGGATATCGATTTGCCTTCCTCGGGGGTGCGTCCTGAGCGCCATGGAGGCGCAGCTGGCGTGGGGGCGGCGGGTGGCTGCGCGCGCCGTGCGTTACTGAGGCCTGAGGCCTATGTTTTGTGAGAGCAGCGGGCTGGGGCCTCTCAAGAGTCCATCGGGGTAGCATCCGGCTCCTTCTCATGTCTTTTGCTGCGCTACCTGGTTGTTTCCTCTCGGGCCGTCTTGTCCTTTGCTTTTCCGAGCCCCCCTGCGACGAGCCTCTCCGCGGCAGGAGGCTGCCATCGACGAGAAGGCCGCCGAGATGCTGTGGGGTGCGTCGGACGATGTCAAGAACGAGGTGCTCAACAGGGGCTCACTGGTGGCCTCGGGCGTTGTGCAGAAAACGCTGTGCTTGTGCGGGGGAGGGTGGTGGTGGGCGGGTGGACGGACGGGCGGGCGGGCGGGTGTGTGTGTGTGTACGGGGTCGAGGGATGATTAGAACAATGGTGTTGATTCTGATGCTGGTGAGGACGAGGACGAGGACGAGGATGAGGATGAGGATGAGGATGATGATGATCCCGCTCTCCCAAGGTGGGGGGCAGCCGCCGACTCGCTGTCTCCCCCCCACACAGCTTCATTACAACGACTCGCCTGCAGCAGCAGCAGCAGCAGCAGCAGCAGCAGCAGCAGCAGCAGCGACCGTCGGGGGCCGCGCCGGGGGTCTCCCATGACGCTCCAGGGAGGCCCAGGGGCTCACGATCACAAACCTACGTATTTTGTGATCGTGGAGGCTGGCGGGCCTCCAGGCTGCCTCCGGGCTGTCACTGGGGCACCTGAGGCTCCCTCATACCCGCTGGAGACCTCGACCGTTCTCTGCGTGGCAGAGCTCTGCCTGCGACCCCCCTTTGGTTGGGTGCAGGCCACGTCTCAGTCGCTTCAAGCCATCCTTGTGGCGCTGCGAGGCAGGACGCTCGGGGCAGGCCTCGCTCAGCTTCATTTTGCGGACAGAGGATGTGGAACATCCGCACACTATGCAGAACGCCACTCACTTAGCACGGTACATGCGGTGCGACTCGTGAAATTGCACGTTCCACCGGGGGGGCAACTCCTCACTGACACAAGCCCTGGACACGCTTGGTTGCCCCCCTGGAGGTGGTGAGCCATGGGGTCCTTGAGGGGGCTCGCGGGCCTGGGCTCTGCTGCTGCTGCTGCTGCTGCTGCTGCTGCTGCTGCTGCTGCTGCTGCTGCTGCTGCTGCTGCTGCTGCTGAGGGGGCTCGCGGGCCTGGGCTCTGCTGCTGCTGCTGCTGCTGCTGCTGCTGCTGCTGCTGCTGCTGCTGCTGCTGCTGCTGCGGGCTCCTGACCGCTCCTGCTGCTGCCGCTGTGAGCCTCCGCCTCCCGAACCTCGGACACTCCCCGCTGCTGCCGCAGCCGCGACGCTGAGGCCTGCTGCCACTGCGAGCGCCTGCCTTGGGCTGCCTCCGTGCCCCTCCCCACCCGAGGCGAGAGGCGGGGGAGGGCGGGAGACGGCGGGGAGAGGGGCCCCCCGAGGCAGGCAGGAGGCGCCACACCAAGCATCGGCACTCGAGGGAGGGCGGAGGGAGGAGGCCGTGTCCGAGGCAGGGCGCCGAGCCGACCCGCGAAATCTTGGCACGGCGCGCGGGCTCCTCTGGGCACAGCCCTCAAACGTGCATCGGACCGCGGCTGGGCCGAGTGCCTGGAAGCCGTCCGCGGCTTGCAGCCATGCATCCCCCTCCTGCGCCGAGAGACCGACCCACCGACCCAGACTCACCCCCCCCTCATCAGCAATGGAGGCCGCCTCGACAAGGACGGGCCGGACGGGGTGGCACTGCGCCGCTTCTTTGGCACGAGCGTTTGCACATCGGTTCCCCGCGCACTGTCATACAGTGATGGCGCCGCGGTCCACGTCACCCATGGAAGCGTGGCCTTTCGCGTTGGAGATCGTGATGAATTCGATCCCGACGTCGTGGGCCCTGGTCCAGAAGAGCTTTCACACCTCACGGTACGGGCGGTTCCAGTCCGTGCACCAGTCCTTTCCCGCCTCCCAGCCGTCGAGTAGGAGTTGGGAGTCGTTGAAGAGGTGGATGGGCGGCAGGGCGTGCGCCAGCGCCTCCGCAGCCGCGCGCAGCTCGCCCGTCCCCGCCTCCTGGGGCCAGGGCCAGGGAACAGGGCGGAAGATGCTGGACATCTCTGCGCCCATGGCGTCGGTGGAGCAGGCCGTCCAGCCGGCGCGCGCGAGGATGTGGTCCTTTCCGTGGAACGCCGACCCGTCCAGGAAGACCTCACCCTCCAGCGGCTCTCCTGCCCTGGGTCCAGCCGTGCGGACCAAGCGGGCTGAGAGGGGCAGGGGGTGGCTGCTCCGCGGGTCCTCGGCGAGGCAGCGCGACCACACGGCGTTCTCGGAGTCCGACTCCTGCGGGCCCCCCGAGTGCAGGAACAGGTCCAGGCTCGGGTCGTCCAGCCGCCACTGTCTGCGCGAGCTTGCCAGCACAGGGCAGGCCCACGCCGGGTGTCGTACTGAACCCTGCTCCGCGCACCCCGCAGGCCACTGGGCTGAGCTCGCGAGCTCGGCGGCGGCGCGGCGCCGGACGGGCCACAGGCAGCCGACGATGGCGTTCCTGGCCGAGGACCACCTCGCTGTCCACGCCAGGCTGCCCTGCGCCCTGCTGGGCTGCCGCCGCAGGCCGCCCACCGCCGCGCCCGTCGCCAGGTGGCCGAGCATGGGGTCACGGCTCGCGACGTCGCGCCACAGCGTCCTGATGAAAGTGGCCTGCAGCTCCCTTCTGAGCGCACGCTTGTCGATGGCGCCGAGGTCGAGGGGCCGCTCCAAGTCATCAGCCCATCGCCTGATGATGCCAGCGGCCCAGCCGAGGCGCCTCGCAGCGAGGATCGTGGCGGCCGCAGGGCCACAGCTCACAAGGTCCTCCTCGCCGTGGGCCGCTGGCCGTCCGCGTGCTGCTGCGAAGACCGAGCCCAGGGCCCGTTTGTCCTGGTCGCGGGCCAGCTGAAGCCCCTTGGCCCAGGCTTCGATGGGCTTCGAGATGTGGTCGAAGAGGGGGTCGTCGCCGGGCCTGGTCGCGACGAGGTAGCTGAGGCCCACGCTGCGCCCCGTCCCCGTCCCGAAGGCGACGGCTGCGATGCGGGCCCGCCAGCGGAGCAGCGCCTTGGAGCCCCACGCCATGCGGGCGATGCCGTAGGACGTGGCTGGCCCGAAGCCCGAGCTGACCAGCTTGGTGGCCGCCGTCGTGGCCGTGCGTCTCACCTGCTGGACGTGGCCGACCTGGCCCTCGGCTCGAGCCGCACGGGTGCGGGCCACGCTGCAGGCCTTGCCATTCATGCCGTAGTCCACGCCCAGGTTCCTGGCCTCCTTGGCGTGCGCGAAGGAGCCCTGTAGAGCTCGATGAGGCTGCGGAGCTTGGCGGAGCTGCCGAGGATCTCGCTCTTGTCACGGGAGACCACCGCCCCGAGGTCGCGCTCCAGGCCTCGCACCATGTCGCCCGCAGCGCGGCCCACCAGAACGCCGACCTCGGCCTCCGAGCCAGACATGCGGAGCAAGCAGTCCCCGAACAGAACGGCCAGCAAGACCTCCTTGTACAAGCGGCGGTGCTCTGCGTCGATGGTCGCCATGCAGCAGCGCAGCAGCTTGCCCGCCTGCGCACAGCCCGCCACGAGGCCCGTCGCCAGGTGGAGCTCCTCGGTGATGACGCCGTCGACGACGATCCTCCGCGGGCCCTCGTAGATGCTGAGGGCGGTGGCTGTCAGGGCGAGAGTGTAGCCGTGCGCCTCCGCCCGCCGCTGGGCCACCGCGAGGGAGACCACCCCGCAGGCCTTCCAGAGGTCCAGGAGGACGCCCCCCGCGCAGAGCCCGCGGCCATCGGCCGAGTCGTTGTGGAGTGACTGCCGCCACACTGCCTCCTCTGACGCCCGCCCCTGGCCGCCCCAGAACGTTGGCCTTTAGGTCTGGCGGCAGCTGGGTCTCCCATGCTCGGCCGTCTCGCTGGCGGATGCGGGCCCACCATCTCGGCATCCAGGTGAGAAGCCCGATGGGGCGGAAGCCGCCCGTCGGCTTGAGCAGCAAGACCAGGTGGACCAGCCTCGCCACCTTGAGGTAGCCTCCGAGGCGCTCGCAGGACGTGCAGAGGTCGACGAGGCACTCCACGCAGAGGTCGCTGAGGCCTGCGATGGGCCTCGGATTGAAGCGGCCGGCGCCCACCCCCGTGCGCCAAGCGAAGCTCTTGGTCGCGCGACGGGCTCGCTGCAGCGAGGGCCTGGCACGCGGCGGTCCCGTCGGCGGCCGGAGGGAGGGCGTGGTCGGGAGGGCGGGGTCCCCGAGGGTCCAGACGTCAGAACCCGCCCACGGCGTCGGCCCGAGCCTGGCCCCCACGGGAGCGCCGTCCGCGATCTCGTCATGCAGCCAGCCCTGCGGGCCTCTCCCGCAGGCGTGGACCGCCCTTCTTCCCAGCTTGGTGGAGGAGGCGACCCAGTCGGAGAGGCTCTTCGCCTGGGTGGCGCGGAAAGCGTCAGTGGCCGCCGCCGGCCCACTCGATGCGCTGGGCAGGCTCTCCGGAGGGCGCCTCTCGGATCGAGGCCCGCCATGCGGGGGGCAGGCCGCGGAGAGCCGCGATGATGTTAATGGTGGTGGTCATGATGATGATGATGATGATGATGATGATGATGATGGTGGTGGTGGTGGTGGTGGTGATGATGATGATGATGATGGTGATGGTGATGGTGGTGATGATGATGATGATGATGATGATGATGATGATGATGATGATGATGAGGAGGAGGAGGAGGATGATGATGATGATGATGACGATGACGATGACGATGACGATGACGATGACGATGATGATGATGATGATGATGATGATGCTGATGAAGATGACGACGATGATGATGATGATGATGATGATGATGATGATGATGATAATGATGATGGTGGTGATGATGCTGATGGTGGTGGTGATGGTGATGATGCTGATGATGACGATGATGATGCTGCTGATGCTGCTGCTGATGATGCTGATGCTGCTGCTGCTGATGATGATGATGATGCTGATGATGATGATGATGATGATGATGATGATGATGCTGTGATGATGCTGCGATGATGATGTGATGATGATGATGATGATGATGATGATGATGATGATGATGATGTGATGAGGAAGAAGAGAGGAGGATGAGGAGGAGGATGAGGAGGAGGAGGAGCAGGTGGAGTAAGAGGAGTTGGATGATGACGAGGAGGAGGAGGAGGAGGAGGAGGAGGAGGAGGAGGAGGAGGAGGAGGAGGAGGAGGAGGAGGGGGACGAGTAGCAAGGTGTAAGGATGATATATCATACATCACGAGGAGTACG